AAGCTGAGTTGATGTTGTCGATAGAGGAACCAATACCATAGACGTACTAGTACGTACTAGTATATTTGCACACTTACTAGTACTAGTACGTCTATGCCAATACGAACATTTCCTGAGCAGCGACAATACCTGTATGCGAGTAACTTCGCGTCCAATTCAAATCCTGCTTATTATAGACTAGTGGAGAGAGAGCAAAAAAAAAAAACGCTCCTCGCACTTCCATCTGACAACCTTATAGTTTTGACCCCAAAAGGAAAAGATATAAAGGCAGTGATTCATCGGTGAAATGCATGAAAAGGATGACCGTACTCCTCGATGCATTTCACACATCGTCGCCAAGCGTGGGAAAGGAGGAGGGGGAGGTTCCATGCTAAATTATAATATTGTGGCTCCATAAGTTGTGTGTCACTAACAACACGTTTCAAATGAACTCATGCACAGTTGCAAAACATGATGTGATCGGTATCATGAAAATAGGTCAAATAAGTATATGTGTCAACGACACTGAAATACATTATGTGACATTCAAATGACCGGGCATAACGAGGTCATAATGTTTGAAATTGATTGTGGCCTGTAGCAATGCCTCTTTCAACTTGAATGCTTTGTAACCCCCAGGCTTAACGACATACACAATAGGTCCTATGGAAAGACATATCATTTGAAGTTCAACATAAAGCAATCCCATTGTCCAGAGCGAGTTTCCCACGGACAAGAACTGATTAAAAGGACATTGACGTTCAGTACCAGAATCTAGCAACATAAAACTCCCTCTTTTCCCTTATACATTCTCAATGAATAATAAGGAAAACTATAATTAAGTTTATGTCCTACAATAAACGGTTGCACCGAAAATATTCGCGGTGTAGGTTATCTGTAAAAGGGTTCGACGGAAAGATGGAATGTATATGAGAACACACCAGAAGAAAACAGATCGACGTCACGGTGTTGATAGACGGAACGGTATTTAGAGATCAAATTTGTATACGACAGCTACAGCTACCCTCCCTAGCTTACCCTCCCTGGGACTTGCATGAATTTTTAAAACGTCGGTTATTATACCTGTAACATACCAACACCGTCTGATTTGTGTCAATTCGAAGTATTTGCAAGTGATAATCTAAAGATAAAAATACTGTCGCCAAACAGCTCCGCTTGGGAAACAATCATGAGAGCCTGACAGCTTCGTCTGAGTACTATTTCTGTACATCTGCGGTTCTTATTAATTTCACTAAATCATTGGACCCGTATACATCAAGATTTAAAGACGATAGTGACTAAATATTCAAAATATATTAAACATAATTTTAATTAACGAAGCTATATCGCCCTATAAACGGAGTAACTGTTTGAGTACTAGTCTGTTGGAGTTCCCGCCGGCCTGCGGGAAGCTCGCTTTGAAACAACACGTGCCGAGGTAAACTCACCGGTGGAGGCACTGGCCTTTCAGTTTGGTAGGGGTGTGTGGCTGGGAAGTAAAACCCCAGACCCCATCATAGACCATTTTCGTCTCAAAAACCGGGCAAAAACCATACCTCTTTATAGACCAAATAGTGATTTTGTATATCCCATGAGAGACCAAATTTAAATTTATTTAGTTATA